CTCACTGGGCCTTCATCCCCACAGGTCCCTGGGGTTGAGCGTTTCATCCCTTCTTGGTCCCTTGCCCTCCCCCTCCGTGGGTTCCACCTGCTGTCTATCTCTCCGCTCCGGTACCCTTCCCTCTTCAGGAATGGCCCAGCCAGTTTCTGGAGTGCCTGGAGGAAAAGTCATCAGACCCAGTTCCCTTTCCAAGACTCCCCCCAACTGGGAGAATATGGGATGAGAATATAATAATGCCACTCACCAGATGTGTATCATGTGCCTCTCACTTTGTAAGTGTTTTACAGGCACTAACTTATTCCACCCTTACAACAACCCTACATGAAGGAACAATTATTGTTATTCCCATTTTACAGAGAAAGAAATTGAGGCCAAGAAAAGTTAAGTAACTTGAACACTACTACCAGGGTAGTCCAACATCTAATAAATAGCACAAAAGGGATTTGATAGAAATCTGCCTGACTCTAGGCATTTGCTCGTGACCAGAACAGGAGTATGTGTGGAAGTGTAAAGGAGGCTAGAACAAAAGGGTAGGTTTAGAGAGAAAGGAGTCCCATACCTGCCCATACTCCCGTTCAATGGCTGCCCTCTGCTTGCTGTAGGATCTGTGGAGATGGGGGGTAGAGGGGGGAGGGAAAGGGATGTTACTATTTGGTCCTTTTCTTCTACCCCTAATCCTTTGCTCAGCCAGGGCAGGAGGAAGAGGGGAGCCAGGCCTAGAGTGTGCACCAGGAGGCAATGAGACTACAGAGAGTCCTTGAGATCACCGCAGGCAGCTGGAACACAGGTCAACCTCATCTCATTGCTCAGAGCCTCAGCAGGATCCTCCCCACCCTCGGAGAACCATCTGTGGACTTGCAGGTGAGGACTGATGGGGGCCTGGGTACACTGTCTGCCAGCCTTCCAACAGGTCTGGAAGAGGGAGGGGGTTTCTGTCCTAAGAGTGAAGGGGGGGGGGGGAGTGATGGGAAATCAAGAGGGTTGAGGGAGGGTCCCTGTGCGTTTATGCATGTATTGGGGTGGGAGGAATCTGGTATCTGGAGAGGCAGGCCCAGGGTGAGGGCTGTGAATGGGCTAAGTTTGGCGACCTCTTCACGCCAGCTTCTCCCCCACCCCACCCCCCAGCCCCAAGTACGTCGGAGAAGAGGCGGAGCGCGACCGGGAAGATGGGGTTACGCGGAGGGGGGACAGGGGCTACCTGATGTCCTCCAGCAGATCCGCCTCCCGCTGCTGCCGAGCCTGAAGGATGCTCAGCTGCTCCAGGAAGCGAAGCTTCACCTCCTGGGCCGGCTTCACCTTCGGGGGTAAGAAAAAGATGAAGACCCCTGGCGGCGGGGGGCCTGAAAAACACTCCGCGCGGGCAGCGGTGAGGAGGCGGGGCTGGGGGAGGGGGCCGAGCTGCTTCCTCGGTTACTTCTGGGTCGGGCTCGGACCCCTTCCTACTACTCGTCCCTACCGCGAGTCGGGTGCCCCCTGGATCCCACCACAACCCCAGCCCGCCGAGAGCCCCGGTCCCAGGCCAAGCTCACTTTTCGGGAGGGCGGCTGCATCTCCGTTCCAGCCCCGGCAGCGACTCGACTCCGGAACTCCAGGAAGCCCCGCCCACTCCGAAGCCCCGCCCCGGGCCCGGCCAGGCCCCGCCCTCACCCCGCCCACGTCTGGTCCAGCTGCGCGTAGGGCGGCGAGACGCTAGGGGGCCGCGGAGGAATAAACCTCTGTTACAGCTTCCAATACCCCAAAAGGGTCCGGGCCGCTGGGTGGACGCCGCGTCCGCTGGGCGGTAGGGGGAACCCCAGGTTTCTGAGTCAAGACGCCTGGGTTCTATTTCTAGTGGAGCCGCTGACTCAGCCCGTAATTATTTCTAATTAATCATTTACATATGCAGATCGCCAGTCCCAGGCTCAAAGGGTGAAGAATGGCGACCAGGGAAACTGAGTCACTGGATGCCTGGGTGAAGTTTGTCTGACGAAGGAAACAGGGCTGGTCCCAGACCTTCTCTCACTTCCCACTGAACTGGAAAAGCCAGAGTGCGCTGAGGTAAGAAAGATGCCTGGAGCCAGAAAGGAACCAGTCCCAGAAGAAAAGACATGTGCATCCAAGACCAGGGGAAACTAAAAGACACCAGCGAGTGGGTGTGAGCTGAGAGGTGAGCGTGGGGCCTTGCGGGCCAGAATGCCCCAGTCACCATTAGGGTCTGCCCTTCAGCCCCCACACAGCTTTCTGAGGCTCCACACACCCTTTCTAAAAAAAAAAAAAATATATATATATATATATATATATATATATATATATATATATATTTGGATTGAGTTCGGGGGGGGGGGGGGGGGGGGAGATAGAAACATCAATGATGAGAGAGAATCATAGATTCGGCTGCTGGGGATCGAGCCCACTTTGACCTGAAACCTTTTGATGCACGGGGGATGCTCCAACCAACTCAGCCACACAGGCCAGGCAGTACCTCAAACTTTAAAAACTGCTCCTTCAACCTGATTCTTCCCCAGTCAGCTACCTCAGGTAACGTAGTAAATGGTACTACTCTCCATCCAGTTGGGAAAGTCAGAAACCCAGGGTCAGTGTGCCTTTCTTCTGCCCCCACATCCATCTTCAAGTCCTATAGGTTGTTTCTAAAAAACATCTCCCTATTGATCCACTTCCCTCAATTTCCAAAACCACCAGCCTAGTCCAACCCTCATTATCAGTCTCCTAGTTGAATATCCGGTCTCCTTGCTTCCAGTCTCTACCCCTCCCCCTCCCCCACTACAATCCACTGCTCATAAACAGCCAGAGTAATTGATTTAAAAAAAAATAGGAAATAAGATCTCATCACTCTCTTCCTTAAAACTCCTCAGTGGCTTCAGAATAAAATCCAAATGCCCTGGCATAGTCTACAACAGGGGTCCTCAAACTTTTTAAACAGGGGGCCAGTTCACTGTCCCTCAGACCGTTGGAGGGCCGGACTATAGTTTTAAAAAAACTATGAACAAATTCCTATGCACACTGCACTTATCTTATTTTGAAGTAAAAAAACAAAACGGGAACAAATACAATATTTGTATTTGCATGTGGCCCGCAGGCCGTAGTTTGAGGACCCCTGGTCTACAAGATGGTGTGTGATTGGGCCCCTGCCCTTCTTCCCCTCTTCAGCCTATACTCTTCTCCCACTCCCCGCTCAGGGTGCTCCAGCTTTCATGCTGTTCCCCAGCAAGCCAAGCCCCTTCCCACTGGCAGTCCAAAAGCCTTCATGCCTCCTGCTTTCCCTCTCCTTCTGGAGTGCTCCTCCTCCCAGCTCTCCACATGTCTTCCCTCTTACCCTTAAGTTTCTACTCTTCACATAGGCCTTCCCCATCCACCCAGCATAAAGGCTCCCTCCACAAGCACATCAAGTTGGAGTAGGACAGACTTGGAGGAGCATTCAGATCTCTGGCTTCCAGATCTTTTTTTTTTAATTTAATGCATTAAGACCATTCTTTTCAAACCCCCAATCTCTCACAGAACCCCAACATATCAAATAGATAAAGCAGGAGTTGCCCTTGTTGAGGAAAAATATGTGGGGCCCGCAGCTCTGAGAAACAGTTTGACGTTCGCTGCTCTACTTCTTTCAGTTGCTTCATGGTACAGACAAGTGAGCAGAGGCCCAGAGGGAAGCCATGACCTGCCCCTCTCCGGGCAGGACACAGCCTCTGGAGCCCTCAGTTCCTGTGCTGCTTCCACAGCACCACACTGGAGCCTAGAGTCTTTCCAGCCAGGGCAGAGGAAGCTCCCAACAGTGCCTGCCAAGGTGAGAGCTTGGTCTTTTGGTTAGGTACTCCCTCGGACTGCTGGTCATGTGAGGGGCTGGCTGGAGGGTAGACTGGAAGTGCAGGGAGGTGGGGAGGGGAAGCCAGGCGTCTGTGTCGGATGGTTGTTGGGGCTCAGGGGCTGGGGACTGGAGGGCTGGGAGGGGCTGCCCAGCCCGATGGTGGTTTCCCCCTTCCTCAGGATGAGGCTGCTGAGCTCCTGGAGCAGTTGCTCCTCCAAGGACGATTGTGCCTGGGGGCTGTTCTTTGAAGGGGGACCTGGAGGGGGCTCCGGTGGCCTCTCCTCCCAGCCTGTCTTGGAGAGAAGGGGTTGATCAGAGGATCTCCGGCTGGTGAGGGGGGTCTCTGACTTGGCTGTCTGCTCCCTCATGGTGAAGAAGGAGGTGGAGGTGTCCTTGGTCAGCTCCGGGAAGGCCCCCACTTCTTCATACACTGGCTCCTCATACACAGGCTCCTCCAGTTCCTCTTGCTCCTCTACAGACCCCTGAGATGACTTCATCGGCTGGATGGGAATGGGTTGGCAGGAGGTAGAGTTAGAGTTACTGGGTTATTCATCATTATCATTTATTGAGCTCTTGCTCTCAGCTAGATGCTGCAGAATACTTTGAAGATATGGTATCAAAACAACTCTGTATGATGGGTTACACTGAAGATGAGTGAACTGAGGTACAGGGGGCTTAAGCTGCCAAATGGTAGAGCTGGGGCTTGAACCCTGGTCTGTCTAACTCTGAAATGCATTCACCTTTCTTTCTGTTACTCAGGTCCTGAACCACTCCCCCCTTTCCTCACCATCCCTTATTTTCTTTACTTTTCCTGGCCCAGCACTCTCTCACTTACTCTTTTTCTCTCTTATACACACACACACAAACACAAACACACGTGGCCTGCGGAGACAAATACAGGGAGCACACCGGCTCAGGCAGCACAGAGGAACACAGCGCTGACAGGTACCGCTGGAGCAGGCACAGTACTCACAAAGAACATGGACAGGGTCCTCCGATTGTGAAGTCGCCGCTGGGCACAGGTGGGGTGGGGATTCGAGGAGAAAAAGACACGGAGACACAGTGAGGCCTGGCAACAGGAGGTGGGGAGTAGGGGCACAGAGAAGGCAAAGGGGGGGCCCCAGGCTGGCAGGTGCACCACTCCCTTCTGCAGTGTGGATAGGGCACAGGCAAGGATCAAGAAGGGCTTGAGTGGGGCTGGGACCTCACCAGAGTCTGATTAGCAGAGAGAAGGGTAGCCCCGCTGTCATCCCCACGGATGGGTAGCAAAGGCATGGTGCCAAACTTCTGACGGGCCAGGTCTGAGGAGGAACGGCGTCGTAAGACCACTGGCTGCTGGTCATCGTGCTGGAGGGAGGGGGAGAGGTTGGCACAAGTGGGCATGGGAGGTACTGAGGGGTAGAGCTAGGACCACAGACCTGGCCCTCCACTTTCTCCTTCCCCTCACCTGGGCTTTGAGGATGCTGGTGGTCCAGTCCCACATCTCATCCTCATCAGTGCAGGACAGGTAGCTGAGGGTAATAAGAGGGGAATTTAGGGGAAGGAAAGAGGTCACAGCTATAGGGATGGAGGACAGGGTTGGGCCAGAGGAGAAGCCAGGCTGGGAGGTACTCACAGGTGCATCTTCTCCAGTATCAATGTGAAGCCCCACCTGAGAGGCAAAGGAGAACAGTGGTGGAGTGATCAGAAAGACCAGGGTGGTGGTGGCAGGGAGGCCCTAGAAAGAAAACTGGGGAAGAAGACTCACGGTGTTGGAGGCTTTAGCTTCTTCCGGATCCCCAGGTAGACCTTGGCACCTTCCAAAGACCACTCCCGTTCTGGTTTAGAGCTCTGAGGACATGGACAGAGTCAATGAGGTTGATAGGTGAGAGAGAAGGATCACGGTTCATGAGGTTGAGAAGTCATGGAAGCATTGGGGAAGCAGTGAGATTGATGAGATTATGGGCTGTGGTGTAATAGGGTCAGTGCAGTCATGGCTCCTCACAAACAGCCACCCAGTGTCCCTCCCCGATAGCCCCAGGGCCCCACCTTCTTCTCCTTGAGCAGCAGTAGGCAGCGACCACGAACCAGAAAGAACCTCTCCTGGAAGCGGTTTCCCAGCAAGCGGGGTGGTTCCTCTCGACACCGCAAGAGCCCCACCCTTGGGCTCTCCCGCCGGACACCTGGGTACAAATAGGCAGTACTAGGTGGGAGGTCCTGGGGGAGAAGCCTAGAGGTTCTGGGCTGAGGAAGGAGGCTCACCTGTGAAGAGGCAGCTGGCCTGGGCCAGGGAGACTTTCCTCAAGAGCAAGGAGGCCGAGCAGGGCTCTGGGAGCTGGCACCATTGTAAGGCCTGCTCCAGGACCCTTTCCTTGGGGTGCAGTGGCCGTTCTAAGGGGCAAGGTGGGAGTGGGTATCAACCAGAATATCCATCCGCAGCCTGGAGCCCCCAACTCATTCATTCATTCATCCATTCCACCATCCAGCCACCGACATTTGTGTTAGCACTGACTCTATGCCAGGCACAGTGGTGGCCTTGGGGATGCAGTGGTGAGCATGAAACACATGGCCTGCCTTCACAAATGCACAGCTAGTAAATAGGTAAGTAAACAAAACAATTGAAGGCAAATAATTATTTGAAAGAAACAATAAGCTGAAAGAGAGAGTAACGGGGCAGCTACTGAGATACCGTGATTAGGCAAGGCCTTTCTGGGGGCGCATTTGTACAAGAAACTCAGAGGCCTGAAGGATTAAAAAGAAGTCATGCTAAGATCAGGGGGAAGATTTCAGACATGACAAAAATGCAATAACAA